TAGAGTGCAGCCCTGAACGTCCTCTTGGACATGTCAAGTGGGGGTGGATGCGGAATAAATTTCAGAGTACTGGGGCGCTTGGAAATCGACCACACATCCACGGGGGTATCGCAGTGTTTCCGGAACCTGAGCATGTGTCACTTCAGCGCATACGCTGTTCGTTGAAGGACATGTTCTCTGCTTCTGCGATGACTGATATGGACACATTGCTTCGCGAAGGACTTGTATTGAACGCAGAGGAATACTACAGGTTGTACTCACTGGCTTGTCAATTACAAACACACAGCTATGTGAAAGCTGGGTCTCGATGCCAGAAACGACGGGCTGCAGATGCTACATTTATCTGTCGTGTTCAGCGTCATCATGCGAGCCTACACTACCACTTCGATGAACGAGAGGCGCTGTATGATGACGAGACTTTGCAAAGGCTTCAGTATCTTGATCTTGGTAATGTTGACCCAATGACTGACAAATGGAAACCAGCTAAGGAATTCTGTGGTGGCAGATGGCAGTATCCGGCACAAATTCATGAGCATTTCATACCAACAGTTCCTCGCTTGTTTGTTGCGACGAAAGCATGCACAAATGTTCAGTTTTGCGATAGGAAGTTTCAGATCTCATACTTGGCTAAATATGCTGCAGGTGTTGATGAGAAACCTCAAGTGACATTCACTCGATCACAACATGATCGGCAGACGATGCATGCTGAAGTGCACGAACCGATGAACATCAAGATTACGGGGCAAGCCATGAAATCATCTAACCAGCATCGAAACTCACTGGCAAGGGAAATAGCTCTTACTGAAATGATCTGGTTTTGTGCGGGTCTGCCTTATGTCACTTACCCAACTGACATCACAAATGTGTCGACGATGCCACCAGAGTACAGAGCTGCTATTGTCAAGCATGCCCAGACAATTGTACTCATTGATGGTGGTGGAGGTCAACTGAATACCTGTCGCCGCAAGGCGTCATCTACCTCATTGGCGACAGTTTACTGAAAGTCAATCACTGGCCATGCAAGATTATGCTCGAGGGACGTATTATCTAGATGTGACAACGGCTTTTTCCCTTCGACCTCCAGAGTTGGTTCTGTTTGACAACCTTGAAGTGTATGCAAAATGGTTTACATTTCACTGAACACATAGACAGGAGTATGTTGCAGATGAACATCTTGGTGTGTGCTTGTGGATTTATGGGGGGTGTCGGCTTGTGAAACTGCGGCCTGCATATGTGGCCGCTGCTTGCCAGTACCTCCGTGCTATGCAGGACGACCCTGACATTGTAAGAGCTGAACATGCCCAGGACCTGTACAACGCAATCTTTCAGCATCTTCAGTGCGAACACAATGCACATGAAGAGGATGGTGAATATTCCGCAATGTACCTACGCTTCGTTGATATAACAAAGACGAAACGAAATGTTGTGGTCTTTACACAGGTCACCCCAACACAATTTTCCAGGTTTCTCATTCACCTGATGTTGTCATTTGGCAACTTTGTCACAGAGGTCGACCTATATAGTGCTCCATCAATGATTGATGCTTTTCGCACCTCTGGACTCATACGTGCTGAAGTGCCAACAGAGGAAGATGTTAGGTGCCTTGCAAGGAGATATGTGAATGACCAATTGCAGTGGTTAGCTATTGGCACGCGTCGCTTCGCAAAGCTCATACAGGCCTTGATCGATGGATTACAGCGTTTCCTCTTTCAAGGGGAGCTAGTGTTTGACTCACTGCCTTTGTATTTGCAACGCGCTATGGTCGAACATGCAACAGAGGAAGTTACCCAGTTGCAACAGTTAAGGCGAACTGCAGCTGTTGAGACCTTGTTTCATGAACTGAACCACCTCATGCCAGACTTCCCCAGCTGTGAGCAACTGAAGATGAAGCAGGTCGTGCATTACAATCCGCGCATTGTTGCAGCACCAGGGCAGTCGCAGTTGTCTGTTCGTGAGCAGAAAGCAGCTCTGCATGACTGTAAACTGGCCATAGATCAGTTGTTCGAGGCAGACAAAACATTTGTAAAATCAGCACTGTTGGTTGGTCCGCCCGGTTTTGGCAAAACGCACATTTTACTGCTTGCTCAAACGTATGCCTTGTCGCGAGGTCTCAATGCTCAATTAATTGCCATGACATCAGAACGAGCAAGAAGACTTGGTGGAGAACACATCCATTTGCTATTTGGCATGCCTGTTTTAGATATCAAGAGGTATCTCAAGTATGGCAGAAAGAAGTCTGTTCTATCTTGTTCGTTGTCCTATCCGCCTGGCTGCTCTCCAGCGTATAGACGTCCTTATCATTGAGGAAATCGGACTTGTGACTGCAAAAACATTTGCAGTCATGGATCTGATTCTGCGTCATATCTGAGACAATCCCGTTCCCATGGGTGGCGTTTTAATGCTGGCATCTGGTGATCCACGACAGCTCCCACCAGTGTCCGGTTCCCCAATCTGGACCAGTTATCACCTCACAACGACTTTCAAAGTGACGTCATTGAAGCAGTACATTCGATCTCAGCGTGACCCACATCTACAGACGCTTCTTGAATTGCTTCGCATGGGCAATGTCACAGACGGCGAAATTCGACAGTTTGAAGCCATTGTCAGGCAATATTGCATCCCTCGACATTGCGTTGCAGGTTGGCATGATGTTCCAGCACATGTTCTGCGCGTTGTTGGCACGAGACAGGCGAGCAAAAACATTGTAGTACACGTGCGTGCGTGCGTGCATAAGTGTGTGCGTGCGTGTGCAAGTACACGTGCGTGCGTGCGTGCGTGTGTACGTACATCGTACTAGTGTTGCCGCCTATCGTGGAGTTATGTACGGTTCGCTAACTCGAGTTAAGCGTCTACACGGGGCCTTAACTCGAGTTAAGGTAACTCGAGTTAGCTTAATTAACCTCGATCGACTGGCGAGGTTAAGCTAACTCGAGTTAAGGCCCCGTGTAGACGCTTAACTCGAGTTAAGGTTCGTCGTGTAGACGAGGCTATAGAGACATAATAGAGAGAAATAGAGATCTTACTAGCATATTTCCATGGTCACGCCACGCTTACAAGCACGTGACCTTCATTCGTTATTCACACCAGCAAAGTTATCTATCCGAATTAACGTCCGCGAAGTGGAGAAACCTTGAGAATTTTTTGAAATGCAAATAAAATATAAGAAAATGTTGGCAATATAGAATACACAGACGAAAGCGAATTAGTAATAGATGAGAGATTTAGCGTAGTAGTAATACGCGAACGAGAGAGCGTGAGAGTCGGCGAGAGACAGTTTCGCGCTCGTAGCAAAAACTCCCACTACGAACCAAGCCGCGGTTTTGCCGGAAATTAACGCTTTAACGTTGGTGACTGTGGCTCTCTGAGGTGGGTGAGATAAGGTGGGGGGGGGAATCCAATCTAATCTATATTTGAGTTCGTATGTATGTATGTATGTATGTATGTATCGTACCCTATGGCCGGCCAAACCGCCCAAGCGATCTGATGCATGCAATTTTCAGAGGGCGATTTCCTATACCCGGGGAGTGTTCCTAGATGGGAAAAATCCGTCAAAACGTGAAACTCACCGAAAAATCCGTCAATTCGTGAAACTTCAGACAATGTCAGCACTCACTGTACAGTGCTGCCACACACAGACAAATCGATGAGTATTTATTTCCCTCACCTCATCAGCTGCTGGTATTGTGAAACCGAAACCCATACTAAAACGATCTCTTCTAGATTTCACCACGACGAAACACTTGAAAAAATACAATTGATACACACAATTCCAGTTAATAAATCTATATTTGAGAATCATATATCGTACCAGTGTCCATTCCTACAAAAGTTAGAGCATAAAGATTGATCTATGCCAGCACTATATAAAAAATGTAAATAATCTTACATAAATGTGATTTTGCATACAATTACATATTTTTCGTTGATTTCTAACAATCTGTAAAAGTTTTTACCTCGAGTCTCGATCATATTCACATACATCCAAGTACACGCACGCAAAAAACACTTTGCGTTCCCAGATTGTCCCACGCAAGCACTGGACTTTTTTAACGGGAACTCAATTATATATAATACAAATTATACAATTGGTCCTACAATTATACGGTCCCAGTAGAGCTTGCAAAGTTTCCAAGCTTTTTATGAAGCTCACATTCAGAAGTTTTGCCTTCTGTTCACAAATAGGCCAGGCCAGGCCCATAAAGACCATGCACCGCAGCAATACACAGTACCCCTAAACTTGTCCGGGAGTGCTAAACACAAATATTGAAAGTACAGTTACCACATCTGCTTAATTCTGTATAACACACGATTCAAACAAATCTCGCATGACTCATACACCTCGCTTTTCTCATTAGTCTCTTAAGCTCTCTCTCTCTCCCCCCCCCCTCCTCCTCGCTCTCTCTCTCCCTCTCTTTCTCGCTCTCTCTCCCTCTTCTCTCTCTCTATCGTACCCTTCCTGTCACAGCGTTTGTGACATCCATAGAAATATACAGAGGCAATAGAGTCCACTATATTATTTCTATGGCTACATCACATCCCAACGCCAGCACAACCATGCTTATGGACATATAAGCGAATAAATACAAAAACCTGTATTTATTCACTTTCGATTACAAAGAATGTTCTCCAGTCATGTAATCTAGTGTGACCTAACCGTAAACACAACTGTAGTGTTGCGAAACTAATAGGTTCCATAAATAATATTAAAAATAATAATAAATTCCATCATAAAGTTCCATGATGCAACATGGAGATGTATATTGCGAGGGAAATAAAAAAAAGTGGTAATAAAATAATAAAGAACGATATCAGGGGAGTGCAAAAAAGGATATTCTGCGAGTGAGAATGACCTTGAGTGCATTGCGTCATGTCATGCACGGCGTAGTTCTCCCGTTTGCAATTCCTAGTGTAGGTGACAACCGTAGATTGTCATTAGCATTCATAAAAAAGTAATAAACCAGGAAAGCGTAGACACGTGGCGCCATCTATTGCCGACGGGAGCCATAAATGCATCGGGTACAACGTGTGTAGTTCATGACCCGTCTGTGTATGCGCACAACAACCGCGAATACATACATCTCGACATTCTCGCATTCCAGCAGCGGCGGCGACGTCACCGGACAAGTTGACAACACAAAGACAACGCAAGTATCACCGTTTTGACACGACATCTCCATTCGTTCCTGAGAGATATTGGCACAGACCAGAGGATTTCACGCGAACACCCAGCCAACGGACGTCGATGCAATTTCCCACACATAGCCACGATTGTTTGTCTAGGCTGTCTTCACGATCACTGATATAAGCTGTCCTAGACCCATCGACGAGCCTTTGATCGTCGATAGTCCCGTTCGCCTCACACTTGCGCTCATTTTCTGGCGTTTTCCTTGCTCTTTTGATCCTTATTTTGGGCTGAAAAAAAACGTCAAATGTAGCGTAGAGCATAGTAGAGCGTAGCAAGCGAGTGTAGAGCATCAACGAAACGTCTCCGTGACCGAAAAAAAAACTCGTGAAATAATCAAAATCTGCCGTCAAACTGAAGGCTGACATCACCGGCCCCTGACCTCACAATGACCCGTGACATCACCAACCACTTGACCTCACAATGACCCATGACATCACCAACCCCTAACCTCACAATGACCCGTGACATCACCAACCCCTGACCTCATAATGACCTGTAACATCACTGACCCATGACCACAACAACGCATGACATCTTCGACCACCTGACCTCACAATGACCCGTGACATCACCGACCCCTGACCTCACAATGACCTCTGACCTCGCACTGACCCGTGACGATGGCGCGGAATGCGAGAAGGTCTCTCTCGTAGGTGATCTTCCACAGGTCGTCGTCGGTGTCGACCAGCCTCACCCGACCAAAGGCTATGATAGTTATATCAAAGAAATTCTATATTTGTCTAACACACAAATTGTTATTAGTGTGATGGCAGCATCTACAGTTCACGTCACAATTTTCAGTGATCATGTGATGTGTGTGTATTGGATCGTGGCATGTGTAATAAAATCCATTTGAGGCTTTGGCACATGCCTGAGACTGAGTTAGCGGTGCGGTGTGTGGCCTTTGCTGCGATGCATGTGACAGGATAGTTCAGGCACTTGTTAGTTAAAAAAAGAAGTATTTAAACAACCGGCTCTGGTTTCGGAGTACTGAAAACTAAACAACCGGCTCTCTTCTCTGATTGGCTAATTTTGTTACTTATTTATTTTATTTTTTATTATTTTTGGCTAATTTTATTTTATTTTAGAATTAGGGATATGGTTAGGGTTAGGATTAGGGTTAAGGTTAGGGTTAGGGTTAGGGTCTATATACTCAACTTCCAAGTAGTTCTAAGTGCGTCAGCGGTAGAGCGTTCGGTTCGTGATAATAAGGTACCGTGTTCGAACCCCATAAAATGTTTTTATTTTACTCTCCTCTGCTTTGTGTATTTCTTTGTATTTGATTTGTTTCTGCATTTATTTGTTCTGTATTCATTTATTTGTTCTGTAACTTTGTTTATGTTCGGAATTAAATATATTTCTTTATGTTTTGCATTAAAAAATGTATTTGTTCTGTTATGTTCGGAAACTGACCAATCAGAGAAGAGAGCCGGTTGTTTAGTTTTCAGGACTCCGAAACCGGATCTGGTCGTTTAGACACTGCCATTAAAAAACTGATGTTGACTGTGCTGAAGCCGGGCACACACGTGGCAATTTTTATCGCTAGTAGGCCTACTGGCGATTTTGTTGCCGACGACAGAATCGCCGAGAGATCGCCACGTATGCGCTGCATGGTGATGGCGATTTTGACGCCAAGAAACTCGTTGCTGTAATATCAAAATGATATTTGTTGCCGAGTCGCTGAACAATCGCTACGTGTGCGCTTCACTGTCGTTGCATTGTCTGACGGATCGTTGAATTGTTGCTGGGTCTCGCACACGAGGCGATTAAAATCGCCACGTGTGCGCTCGGCTTAAGGCAATGATAGTTATCGCGAAAGCAATTCTATACTCACTGAATGCTCACACATACACGCACGCGCACGCAAACACGTATGCACGCACACCGGCACGTTCACCGAAGAAATTTAAACGTTTGCAAGCGCACACACAAAGGCGCGCACATACACGCACGCTCGCACGCACCCACGCGCACGTGTGCACCCAAACGCACACGCACGGACGCATGCACGCACACACACACACCAATGCTCACTGTGGCTGCCTTACGATAAATGATGCGAGTGATCAGAGATATTATTTATCTTTTGTTTATTCTAATGTTCTTCTCGATTACATCACTTCACATTCACGTAAAACTAAAAAGATGCAGACAATACAGTAAAAACCCGCGTATAAGAACATAGATTTTAAGAACATGTTAGGCTAAAATTTCCCATTTAGACCCCTTTACATAAGAACCTGTTTTAGGCTAAGATTTTAAAGTAGGTTCTTAATTTTCCATGTTTTTTTCCCCATTTTTTTCTCCTCCATTTTTTGGC